GTGTGTGTGTGTGTGTGTGTGTGTGTGGGTGTGTGGGTATGTGTATGACAGCAAGGACAATTTTTAGGTTAATTAATTTAAATATCAAACATGCTATATGGTTTACAGTTGATTTCTGGTTTTTCTTTTTGTACAGGTAAGTATCGCGGAAAGAAAATGAGAGAGAACAGGGAAAAATGAGGGACATTAAGGAGTGCGGTAGAAGAGAATTAATACGCCGAAGAAGTTTTTCCCATTGGGGTACAATTTTTTTTTTTTTCTCCTACCTCGTAATATTCATTAATAACCTGTTTTAGAAGTTTATTTTTAATAAATACAATATTCCACTAATAATGCATTAAACAAATTTTAAAATCCTAAGCTATACTGTTTTAAGTTTTTAAGTCCATTAATGGTTTCATGCTATCTTTTTTTCTTCCTTATTTATTATATAACTTGACAGTTCAATTATTTGTGATTCTTTTCAATTTCTTTAAATTCATGCTAAATTTGCTGCAATTTTCTGATGCTATAAATATTTCAATTCTTGCTAAAAAAAATTTTCAAAAAATTTAAAGTTAAACAATTTGAATTGTTTTATAAAATTTTTAAAATTTCAAGAAAATTGCAAGGTGTCTTTTTTCTTTAAAAATTGCATTCTTGCGAAAAGTAACATTGCTATTTATTGATGACAGATAATGTAGAGGAAAATAGATAATTGTAATAAATTGATGACACATAATCTCTAAGTAATGTGAACATTCTGAAAAATATGAAAAAGTATGTTTTTGCCAGTAATCACCCTCACATCAGGTATGTTACTATGATAATGATATTATTCTTCTTTTTTATTTTGGAATGTACCGCATAGGAAAGATAACGAGAAGTTTAGCAGAATTTTTCCAAAATTTTTTAAATTTTAAATTGTTAGAATATTATAGTTAAAATCATGAACGATTTCTGTGTTTCTCCAAGAGAAGCTTGAGAAGCTATTTTTGCAATGTTTCAAAAGATTTTTTTTTCAGACAGCTTTGAATACGTTCAATTTAGCATACCAAAATGGCTTCGGGTAATTTTTCCATTTCCAAACAATTTTCAAAAATTTGACTGTAATTATTTAGTATGAATATTTTTAAAAAAAATAGCACTATTTCAATTCTATCAAATTTATTTCGAAGGTTTTTTTTTTCATTGATTCATATCGATTTATTAATAACTTAATATCGACGTTATCCGTCCTTTTCTTTCGTCTACTCATTTCTGTTGAAAAAGTAATCTCATTACGCCATGCAGACGTTAAATTAATTATATTTATTCAAATTTTGAGAGATAGTTGAAATTCAGCTGTTTGAAATTGCATATTAAAAAATCCAAAATTATCATCATGTTAATAGCTTCATTTTTAAATTATTTTAACGACCTTAACATTAAAAAACTTTAACGACCTTAACGTTTAAAAACATTGCACGAATGCAATAAACGATAATATTTCATTAAAGAAATTTAATGATTTGTGAAAAAAAAAAAATTAGCCAAGAAGAATAAAGGCAAGTAAGGTCATACGTGATAATCCTTATTATTTAATCGCTTATCCAAAATAAAATTAATTTTTTATTCCTTTTATCAATGAATGATTGATTTGATTGTATCTTTCACTGATATCAGTCGGTGTACGTCGCGCAAATTACTGCAAATTCATTCTGTTATATTTTGGAAAGTTATGGTCAAAAAATTAAATGACGTTTATTATGTAAAAAGAGGAAATTTTATTCATTAAAATTATTCAATGAAGTTACCTAACCTAAGGAGCTGATTTTTTATGCGCCACTGATTATAACTAACATTCATGCAAAATTTCTAAATTTTTAATTTTACTGCATGAATATATACTTCGAATTAAATTTTTTTAAAGTATTTTAACCAACTACTTAAAACTTTTATGTATGGAGGGCTATGGTCGATTATAGGTAAACAATAATAGTGAGAAAGGGAACTCCCTTTGGGGCTCTCGGATTTATGATAATTCCTAAAATTCGTTTTAAAAAAAACCAGGTTAAGAGTTCACAGTAATGATTACAGCTATTCTTTCAGCAAAATTGTAATTAGTAATTGAAAAGATGTAATAATCAAAAAATCTTTAAATTTTTTTTGAAATGATAGATCGTGCAAAAATTTTTCACAAAAGATTTTTTTTTTTGTTTAATAATTACTTACAAACTTATTATAATATGATTCAGTATATTTTAATTTCAGATTAGTTAAAAATGATTCAATGTATTTCAGTTTTAGGTTAATTGAAATTGCACACAATATATTTGATTTCAAATGAGTTGAAGTTGAATTTAACGTATTTTAATTTCAG